CTTGTTTATGGCAAATGGCGCCGTTTAACGACGAGCTTCCATTTACGTGACCGCGCAATAATTAATTGATGTACGGATATTTTGATAACGCGATTCTCAAGCCCTGATTTGCGGTACGAATGACGCATAATTTTCGACATGTAAAATCCGAAGCTTTTCACAAGTGTAATATAAGTTCTTTGGCCTTATCCACCCGTGGTGGTCGTTGCACTAGTTTAATAAAACAAATGGCGAGGCAACAACGGCACCTAAGTGCTCGAAGAAAAGTAATACAAGATTACGAGGATATACAGGATGCAAATGGAACGATATATTACGGTACACAAGTTCTGCACGACGTATCGCGTTATCGTGTGCCGCGTAAACACACGCGCGGGAAAGACCGAATATATATCAATAATAAAACCGCTCTTGCTCTTTAAGTAACACATTTATTCTGCCCTCAACGATATTTTAATCTGGTATTCAATTATCGAACTGTTTGATTTTCGGAATTGAAACGTTTTTACAAATTAAAAACTCGGAAGCTTACGTGTGCGCGCAAGCGTGTATGTATGCGTGCATGTGCGTTAACATGCATGAAAAGGCTACCGAAACTGGGTTAAATTCAACCGCAGCTTTCAAAGGCCATTATTTCCCCAGAATATGTCACATTTTCAGCAAGAAAGATGCATAATTATTTTTAACAAGTAAAAAGAAAGAGTTGAGTAAATACGACGATATATAAATGAAAAATAAAAATTAAGTAATCCTGTATTTTTTTTATATTTTCAATAAGTTTGTATCTTTGATTGGTATATAAAATACTGATTGTGAGTTTGCCAGGGTCTTCCTCGACCAATATTGGAATATCAAATGTAGTAGAATCTAAAGGGTTTTAAGTTAATTAATGGCGATTCCTTGTTAATGAGAAACGTACATTAATGGCGGTTCCTTGTTAATGAGAAATGTACATTAATAAATTGAAGGATTGTTATGGATATACAGCAGTCGTTAATGAGAATTTGACAAAGTTTGGAGCGAATCGCGTTAATCGCGTAATATCCATTAAAAAGCAATCGAACCAATTAGGAAGATACGAATTGCATGCCGCGGTAAAATTTTCTTCGATCCAATTCAAGCTGGTACCGTTTTGTAACGTGCGCAACGCGGTAGTCAATTATGGAAAAATTATATCATTATGCAATAAACGAGGGATATAAAAATGATTAAATGGAACATACCTCCTACGTAAATCGGCGCACGAACGGGAAGATGGAATATCGCTGAGCTTTTTACGAACCGATAAAAGTATAATGACGCAAATAGTACACAGCGCTAGGAAGCAGGGCAAAAAGCGGGGCGTATAATATTGAGAATTTTTTCGCAATACGTCCAGCATCACGAAATTGGTTTCCATTCACAATTAAATCAGTGCGCGGAATAGGATAATAGAATATCGTCGGCGTGCAACGTTCCGTAGACGATTCTTTTTTGCAAAGTTTCAGTTCGCGTAGTTTAATAGACAAACACATTACAATATCGATCTCGTGCGCGCGCGCGCGCCCTTGTTGTTATTTTCGCGTTATTCCTTTTCGGGCGGGGAGCAACCGTGAGACCAGATTGCCACGCGAAAACTGGGCCGTCTCGTAACGGCACTTTAAAATTAAATCATATTTTATGATGAAATATCTCGCGTCTTCCCTCCTTTTTTTTTTCTTCTCCATTACGTTCCTGCGTTTCGCGCTTGCCGAATGATGCCATCATATTTTTAGCGTGGCCACATTATGCAAGCAAAACTGTTATTGCCGCAGGGAAACTCATTTTCCAGTAACATCCTTTTTCGTTTCCAATAATATAGACAGCGTTAATAAATAAAGAGATTTATAAATAGAAAAATAAATCGATAAACGAACACGTACATTCATCAGCTGCTAAAGAGCTCCCGGAAATAAAACTGAAGCAGCAACATGAAAATGTGCGTTAACGATAAATTAAAGATCGAAAAGTTCGTATACGATATCGTAAATTCAAAATGTGACACGCCGTGCGTAGAGTCGATCGAGATAAATCGTGAAACATTTGGATAAATACGACAATGTATTCAAAGATTTATCTGAAAGTTTATCTGAAAACCATTTCACTTTCCAATTGTTTTCTATATCTATTTTTAAAAAGATGGCTATCGCTGCGGCAATGATTTTATAATAATTGTTGGTTTATGGAAAGGTAATACGCTACTACGTACATTTGTCCTCGCGTCACAAATAAATCACAAAAAAACTTAAAAATTCAACAAATTGTGGGATTTACTACCAAATTTTTATACTTTATTATTTGTTTTTATTTTAATTCATTAATAAATTATTTAAACATTAAATTAATTATTATTAAATTTACTTAAATTAATTATTTATTTAATTTTCTCTTCACAGGAAGCAATCGTGCTAAAAATTCAACCCTTCCGAAACTCTTGTCATTTCAGGTCTTTAGCTTTTAATCCATTCTGAAATTACTTGTGAGGAATAACGTAGCGTAAGTGCACTTAATATACGTTATGGTTACTCATCTTCAAGTAGAACTTACGCGTACAGTTTGACGGAAGCAAGAAGAAATTCTTAGTTCTGCTTTTAACAGGAAAATTTTTTTTTTAAGTAAAACTTGGACTCGAGTTTTCCGCAACTAAAACGTCGAAGTGTTAATAGCTTGCTAAAGTTGTACACGATTAAAAACGTCGGGCGCGCTAAATTACTCTGTAATGAATAACAAAATCTCATAACAATATTCCTTTAATTAATTCCGGCCGCCCTTTAACTTAAACCGGATTTTAATCTAGCGCTTAGTTATCGGAATATCTAATATCGAGTATTGAAAACTCGTATTGAAAAAAAAAGCTAGGAAGAAAAACAAGGACAGAACGTAACGTTTGCCCGCCTTTGCATCGAAGAAACAACATCGGCTCCAGATTGGATGCAGCTGCATAATGTAAGCGCCGTGTGTACTTTCTATCTTGTTTTCTATTTTTTATAATAGGGACGGGAATAGAGGAACCTATATTTTTTTTTCTCTCCTTCAGTTTATCTCCCGGGTCATTGAATACGAAATGTTACGCTGGAAAAAGTACAGCTTTACAAAGAATCGTAAGGTACTGCCTTTTTAATAATTTAGTGTAGCATATCGCGTTAAATTCTTCCGCAAAAGCACACGTCACATTTCGCGAGACTCGCGATTTTTCAAATTACGAATAAAAATTTACGAAAGCACAGAAAATTGCAGGGAGAATTATTCCACGTCGTACAACATTATTCCGCGATATTAAAGCAGAATATGTTGGTTCCTTGTTAACAGTTCGTTAGTTTGATTAGTTAGCGCGTAGAAACAGTACGAAAACAGTTCATTGTTAACGTTAAAAATTGGATATTAATGTACGAAATAAGAGAAGAAACTAAAAATATATTCCCCAGATTTTTCCATGCAGATACATTTAAGCTTCGAACGAAATGGAATTATAAGGATGGCATCCGATTCTAGAAATACGGAAAAAAATTTGAAAAACTTGCGCACGTGCGATAACTCGGATTTCCTAGAATTTGGAAGCCCTAGTAAACAATTCTATCTCGTACCATTTCGGATTGATGATTTCGGAGAATTGCCAAAGCTAACTTCCAGGAAATAGATAATTTTTTTTACCCAACGTCAGACGAAGCGACATGAAAAACCGCATCTTGTGGCTTACTTTTCTCTTTCCATTCTCTCCTTCTTTTTCCGTCATGAATTGGAAGAAGAAAGATAATTATATATATTTATGTGTTTGTGTGTGATTATAATTGATAAAAGAATCATATACATTTATTTAGAATTCCATTTGTATTGTTATTATATCGCTATAGTGTTTGTAATAATAATTATATTTATAATTCTGTATATTTCACAAAATATACATATAATTAGCACCGAAAATATCTAGATATAATTCATACGAATATTAAATAATCATTTAACACTAATTTACATATAATAAATATTAAATAATCATTTATATGATTATTTTATCAATGCAATTATAGTTTTGAATTTGTGACTAGTGTTGCATGATAAAATAATTATTAGGAGTTATTTTTAATACTATTATCGCTAATATTATATACCTCAAAAGAATATATAATTGGAATCTGTGAATATGAAATAATCACTTACACGATTGTTTATCAATATAATTACAGTTTTAGATTTGTGACTATTGTGTGATTGCATGATAAAATAGTTGTGATTAGAAGCTCGATCCATTGATTTTGTTATTATTGCTAAAATAGTAATATAATGATTATATTTATATTTTATATACTTAAAAATTAATATATATATATATAGTTGACACTAAAAATAATGATCATAATCCATATGAATAAATAATTCTGATCGGTATTTGCAAATCCGAACATTTTCTTCAACTACATTGTGAAAAATTAATTGTGACAAATGTTTTTTACAACCTTACATAATTTTGAAATGCATAATTTTAATCCTTCGATTTTGACTTTCGAAATAAAAAAATTATTCAATTATGTGAACTTTGAGCAAAAATAAATTAATTTACAGCACCTCGAATACCAATCAAGAAAATTTCGGAGCAAATATCGATTAGCGCTAAGTAATCATTATATAATTATTTTATCATGCAATTAATCGCGAATATCAAATATTTCTCTCAATGCACGAACGAAATTATTATTTCCTCACAGAAAATCACCGCTGCGCGAGCAGCATTTCACGTATAACTATCCGATAAGGATAGAATTGTGAAAAATCCTTTAATTATCAAATCAGATCGTTCCCCCTATCGCAAGTGACCACTTAAACTTAGGGATCCTCGTTATCTCGAATTAAGGGTCCATCGAAATTACGGCGCGGCAATTCGATCCCCGGCGAAAAACGCTCCCCAAAGAGATACGTTTCCCTACGCGGAGAGATACGCGCCGGCTCCTCATTTCGACGGAGTAAAAATAATTAATAATGCGCACCTTTTACTGCCGGAATCAAGCAGGCGGCGACGGCGAACACCAGGAATCTCATCCCGACGAGCCTCATCCCCAGGAACCTCTCTGCAATCACTCCGGATGCTTCCATGGCTTGTGGAGGTCCGCTTACGACGGCACAAAAGCACACAGACACACTTTAACACAAACGCTAAGTCTCGGGCCGGATTAAGTGGCGTGAAAGAGTTGACGAACTCGCGCTGTCCACTCCGCTCGAGAAGGATAGTCTTTTTTTTTTTTTTTTTTTTTTTTTACCACGATTTATCTTTATCACACTTTCCTCTCACATATCGTACGTGAACGACGACTCGCGACACACACACTCACACGCGCGCGCGCGTAGCGATTATCTCGATCGATAATGGATCCTTTTTTAATTAAGAAAAAAAAAACCCAACGCGCCAGTTACGCGTCGCAATCTCGCTTCGCTGTCAACAGATCGTCTCGGTTCCGCTTCGCTCCGCTTCTTCCCCTCTCTCGATCGTCGACGGGCGTCTTGAGAGAAACATTCTTTGTATGTACAACGTCGAAGCCGTCGGCTGTTAAGAACCTCGATAACGCGCTCCGTTCGGTTTCGCGCGAACACCAATATTCGCGAACTCCTGAGGCGGTATCTTCTTCTCCTCTTCCTCTTTTTTCCGTCCCTATTGGAGCTCTGACGGCTCCAAGTGGATGCGATTTCTTGAATCCAGAGACAACAATCAGGGGACTTTCTGTGTCTTCTTCCAATCACACCACACCGGTGATATCTTCTTCTTCTCCAATTACTCACGGAATCTCGGACTCGGAAAGCTCCAAGAATCACGATTTCTTCAATCCAAAGACAACAGCCAGGAGATTCTCTGTGTCTTCTCGCAATCACTCAGTGGGTATCTTCTTCTTTGATCCTGAAGACTCCAAGTACCAGGGTTTTTTAAAATCCACGGTCCAACAATCAGGAGACTTCTTCCAATTATCCAGCGCGGAGCTAAGTCTCACGAAGTTATCGCGTGAACTTGCATGCGAAAACTTGCGGCGAATTCTCCGATCGCACGTTTTCCACCTTGCGAAAACACCCTACTCCGCTCGACAAATTAAGTCCGATGATCCCTTCGACTCCGCGGTCTGTTGTTTTTACTCCAGAAGCTTCGAGCAGAGCTTCTCTCTCTCTCTCTCTCTCTCTCTCTCTGCCCGCTTATTCTTTCTTCTCTCGAACTCCTTAAAAAGCTAACAGTCGGAGGCTTATTTGGCTGATAATTAATGGCGCCACCCCCGTGACGTCACATCGGCCGCACGTTAGAAAGGTCGTTCGAAAGCTCGTTCTGACGCACACGCGAGAAACGGTGGATCCCAGGGCGGAATCCCAGCCGCGTTCTTCCGGGCGTTCGGGAGCGCGTCGCGACGGCGGCGATGCAGACGATCGAAGCGCAGGCGATTACGAAACACCGCGAATTTCGGACGTTATCCGCCGGCGAACGTTGACGATTCACAGCGCGAATACAGTCACGTGTCGCAGTACTCCGGTTCGATCTGTCGTCAGATACGATCGGCGTGAAGTTGCCGCCGCCGGTGGTGCACTCGCGCCAAAATTCGAAGCCGCTCGCTGTAATCGCGACGCGGAATCACGGATGGGCGACGGTCGACTCCCTCGCCGATTTCCCTCGCGAGGACGATCCTCCGCTCCTCGCGGGATATCCGTCGCGGCGCGAGCCCACGGACATTCGTTCCAATCGAGGGGCCAGCGAAACGGGGCAGTGGAGGAGGGGTGGCGACAACGACGACAACCGGGGTTGGGTGGTGCGAGGGTGGCGAACGGATCGCGCACAGCAGGTGGCGCGTATCCGATTATCGCGGATTCGGCAACGGCACGAGACTATACGGCGATGGATCCGGTCGCCGAAGCACGCGAGAAAGATTATGCGACCCGGGGTTTATTACGACACACCGCGATAAACGAGCAGAGAAGAACCAACCACTCGCGGGACGAAGGGACGACGGACCGAGAGACGTCGCGTTGCGTGCGCCGCCGTTCGCCTACGCGAGAGTGTGAAGACTGCGCGAGACTGCGCGCGAGAGTAGGAGGCCTCTGCCCCCGCAGAGATCGACGGAAACCGCCGACGACGAGCGAGGACGGCCGAGTGCCGCGCCGCGCCACGCCGGTAACCGCCGACTCTCCGACCAGCGCGATGGACAGATTTTTAATGCAAACTATTGTAAATTGACATTTTAATAGTTACCTTCAAATAGAGTGACACTTGAAAATGCGCCCTCGTAAGAATAAGCGAAAGAAAGAGAGATAAAGACGTTTCTTATTATGATTTCTGTTATTATTCTATAGAGAGCGGGCCCTAGAATACATTACTTCTTTTACTACTTTTATGTTCTTAAAAGTAAGTATTGTAAAAAGAAAGGCAAAAGAAGAAAATATACAAATAACAAAAGTAATGCAAAAATAATACAAATGATATATATGCAAATTTAAAACATTGTAAGTTATGCAAAACAAAGAAAGGGGAGAAAAAGAAAAAGAGAGAGAGATAACGATGTAATAAACACTACTCTTTTAGGGCAAGCCTCTTAAGAGCATAAAAGTAAGCAAAACGAAAGTAAGGAAACAAGAATATACAAGTAACAAAAATGACATAAATAAATATGTAAAAATAAAGGAAAAATTCTAAATTATATCTATATAACAAAGAAAGAAAATGGAAAGAGAGAGAAATTTAAAGAAAATACTCCCTTCAAACGCAAAAGAAATATTCTTTTAAATGCGATAATTGGAATTATCAATTGAGATAATTTCAAAAGAGAGAATTAAAACTTTTACTTGGAACAATATTTTAACTTTTAAGCTTGCATTGAGATGGCATTGAAATCTGCGTTTTTAGTTTTATTTCTTATAAATATCGTAAAAATAATAGAAAAAATGTTAAGCACAGCTTTTTATTACAAAGCTTAACTTTTTAATTTTAAAATTAACGAGCAAGTTTAAGGATTCTTAAATTATAAATTTTATATATTATTTCAGCTTATTATTATTTGTTAAAGCAACACAATTTAAATTGTTATTATCAAAAATTAATTTGAAGTCACAACTTGCGTATCTATGCAAATTGCGACTTCACATGTATGTGACGTATATCTATAAATTGATTTCCGTTTAATCTGAACGTCGATTCGAATCAGTTAATTGATCACTTTCGATTGGGTACGTATTTCGAAGAAAATATCAGCTCGAGTTCATCGAAAGATCGAAGCTAACAATAAGCTTGGAAAGCTAAAAAAAGTTGGCTTGCTGCAAATAGTCGCGAGAAAAAGCTAGAAACAGAACTTCTTAACTCCGCTTATAACTTATAAAAGTTATAAATATAAATACAAGTATCGATATAGTTTTTTTTTCGCAGAATATTATTCCTGCATGAAATAAATTTTTTTTTTTATTATATTTTAAAATCCTAAAAAGAATCATGATAGATAAATTATTATTTTATCTTGTATGAATAATTTCTAATACTTTTAGAGCAAATTTTCACTCTGAAGTGTGAAATCTCACGCTTAAAGGTTGGAAATTGAGCACTGTTTTTCAAGACTGGCTCAATTTTCAAACTGAGATTCTACTCCAAAGAATTTAAAGAGTATAGCAAAAGAATCTCCGTAAGCATACTTTTAATTTATATTTTCAACGCTACGCTTCTATCTGCCTCTCAACTATCACTATATTTATCGCTGAATCTCACCAACGAAAATCCAAGAGGGGGTTGTATGCAATGAGAAGGATAACGACATTAGAATTTGAATTGATATACAAATTATTGTGCTCTCATTCTCTCTTGATACTTTAAATTTGTGTTTCCAATATTTTCACCTCTGCCCGTCTCAGGACCGTCATATTCATTCCAAGAAACACAAGACCAAGGGAATATAGCGCGTGTTGAGAATGACGATTTCCGCTACGGTTATTCCGTAGTGTACCTTAACGAGATTTCTATCCTGAATTATCGAATAGCGTCAAGTCTACGATAACGTCACCGACGAATTGACGGGTTTTATACAGTTTCGTAGAATTCCCTGTCGTAAAGGGCGAAATCGGAGATGCTCGACTAGTATCGCCGTCGTTATCAGGATACGATGCTTTTAGTTAATTAGCGTACCAACAAGTGTCAGGCTGACACGATGCACAAGATACCGCAACTGCCGCGGAATTCCGTTAACAAGATTTGTCGGTGTCTTGAATTATCAAACGCAATTAACCGCCCGCGTGATTATGCCAACAGCGCGAATCGATGGATTTAATATACAATTCTGATAATTGGCGTGTACCAATCGCGTCAGATAATATCAAAGATGTTATTTTAGATCTATCCAACATTTGTATAATTCTGGACACCGGCTTTTAATATGTACCTATAATATCGACCTTTACATCTATACTGTCTTCCTTTTTTATCTTCATTAACCTTTATAAATAATCGAAATCGAAATATGTACTCTGAAACGAGGTAAAAGCTAAAAATTACAAAAGTGCAAATTTATTAGGATATTTATAATTTTATTGGTCAACAATGGACACACGCAATTGACGGGAAAGTGACAATAATTGAAACAGTGCCTCAATATAATGAAAAATAATAAATAATAACAAATCTTACTCGAGAATAAAAACTACAAGATTTAAAAAATAGATCCTCCGCGCTCTCTAAATGTTAAGAAAAATGAAGATAACAAGCATGAATACTGAACACGTCATGACGTCAAGCCATTGCCCAAAAGCTGTCGCTGTTGTGTGCGTGTGCCTCAGCACTGCTTTAGATGATTAAAGTATCGATCAACTATTGTTGGTACAGTAGAAGACCATTGTATGTTTCTTTCATCATGCCATTGTTTATCAATACATTGTTTACATAATATATTGCGCGCATAACGTGTCAGTAAATATAACCTAATTTAACGTATCCGTATATCAAACTATACCTCTCGACCATACATTTTGCATGTCTTATACGTTAGAGCTAATTAGAGATATAAATTCGTACTAGATATAATATCATTATAAATGGCATTTTTGATAATTACTACAAGAGTGTTTTTGTTACCAATGACTTGGGAATTATAATAATTTATTAATAACAATTTTATAGAATATACAACAGGAAAACTTAATAAAAAGAAAAACACGCAATCAGTGGGCGAGACATTAGCAAAATGTTGCCTAAAAGCTTTGACCCAACACTAAGTGCAAAGTTAAAAACTAAAATACAAGTTTAATGAGTGATAAGAAATAAGCAGAGGAAGAAAAATAACATTAAAACATCAACGATAACTAAAATATATTATATATATAAAATATAAAAAAGAGGACGAGAGATAAAAATAAGATAATTAAGATTAATTAATTACGTTCATCATTTGAAATTATTTGAACTATGAAACGACATATCTTTCCTCTACCGAGGAAAATTATGATTTATTTTTATACGTCTCTATACATTTTATTACATAATAACCATTAATATATTTTTCGTCGTAATAAGGCAAAATAAATATAGTTTGGAGTTCCATTTTTATAATTACTGCTATAATGTTAGTAATAATAATTATATTTATAGTTGGCACTGAAAATAACTATAAATTAGAATTAAATTATGATAAGTACAATCATTATTTTCTCAGGGTACATACACAACTCTAAAGTATTATTATTTAAATTTAAAGAAGACCAGCTAAATAAGTCCAGGATAAATTTGAACTCCAATTAAATTAATCCGATTAATTCGATTAGCTTGTTAAATGCAATATTTGTATTATTTTGTTGACATGGATATTAATTAATTTGCAGGATTATCAATTAATTCCTGTGCTGTTTGTTACGAGAGAAAAAAATTCAAGGATTGGAGTGGGTTGGAATTATACGGTCGAAAACTTTGCCGTGAGCAATTCTACCGCTCGGACTAATTGTCGATTAAGTTGATCGAAGCTCGTCCAAAGTCGCCAAACGAGCGGGATTCAGTACGTTCAGTGTCCCCCAAAGTTGAAGAATTCGGGGAATTGCCGGAGGGTTGTCCATCCTGCTTCCATTCCAAGAAATTGCCAAGCGTTAGCTAAAGCGCTCTTTAACGTAGTGACAGGACAGCGATGAGGTTTATTATCTGTCCACTAAATATAACACAAAAAGAATGATGCAAGTAAATGATACATTAATTATTAAAACGGCAGGTACATATTATATCTCATCAACTTATATGAATAATGATATCGATTTCACCTTATCTCTTGCCGGTTGACTGATCATTCGCATTCTCACTGCTATTTCTCTCTTATTTATTGCCTGCTTTAATTTTGCGTTCTTTACTTTACCTATAAATAACGTCAAATTTACATAGAATTGACAACACACTCATTTCTGCTTCTCAAGGAACACACTAAGTGAAGAGAAAGTCAAAATAACTTTATTTTTTGATGTCATGAAAGTAAAAAAGTGATGTTTGGTTACAAGATTTAACTGTTTATTAACGTTAAGAATTAAAATAAAGTCATTTTAATTTTTCGTTGACTTTTATGTATTCCTTAGATTTCAATATACTCGCTCAATCTCACAGACTGAACTTTAGTTCTACATATAATAATAATGATTCAGATTCGGAATCTCTATCACACTGCATATATACATATACTCCGAGGACTTTGTAATTGCCATAAGTTTGTATCAAGTTTTGAGATCATCATGTCTTGAGAAATCAATTTCAAATTACCACCGATATACAATACTCTAGTGTCTAGTCAATGTATTTATACAAATTGTTAAATGCATTTATAGGGCATTTAATTTCAACTTTTATCTTAACTTTTACTTAATCTGTTGATTAAAACCGTAAAAATTGTATTGACGATGGCCTAAAAAATTTAAGGTCGAAACGTTTACTATTTTTTTATGTTAACATTCTAATAAATGCTATTTACTAAGATCTGTGTCGGCTCTTTAAGTATATATTTATTAATAATATCAATTTACTTATTTTACTGCAACTACCGGCCACTTACAACGGTTTCTTTTACGGTATTCATCGTTTATTATTTTATATTTGGACTTACACTGAGTAACGATAATCTTATCACTTTTTTGACTGAATTTGTACGTATTGAATTATCTCAACGACCGTAATTTGTATGTATTGAATATTTTACTTTAGTGACTAGATTAATTTATATCTTTTCGCGAACATTTTATTAAACGCGTTTGCTTAGCGTGTCGTTTTTCCGATTATGATTTTTTCGCAGTTTTGTTTACACTGTTCGATAAGAACAGGTTTGTGATGTCTATACGTTGAATGCACGTATTTTACGAACAAAAATTCATTGATATCCACATGAATGTAACGTGTCATGAATGACGTCATCAAAATTTCCACGTGGATTGCACAGAGTGAAAATCGATGTGAATTTATTTACGTAAATTTTATATTATATATATACTATTTTCTTACTTTATCTCCATTTAATTTCGTCAGTAATTTTGTGTGTATTAAAATTTATATAGAAGTGTCTACGTAGAATTCATGTTAAAATTTTGAGGAAAATTTATTTCGATTCAACAATGAAATTACAATGTTAAATTCATGTAGATATCATGTCAACGAATTGTTGTTCACTTCATGTAAAATACGTTCAGTGTAGATTACACAAACCTGTTCTCGTCGAGTGTGAGAGACAAGGCAGACCAAAAATCTATAGTAACAGAGAACTATTAGCGTTTTTTAATGTAATTACACGTTGTAACAGCTTACCAATAAATATCTATCTCACTCAAGAAACACATAAAAATCAACAAAAAGTCAAAATGACTTTGTTTTGATATCCATAATAAATAGTTAAATTTTATAAATTATTAAAAATTATCATTTTTTAACTTTTATGATATCAAAATAAAATCATTTTAACTTTCTTTTCACCTGGTGTGTTCCTCTGGTATTAATAAATGTCTATATTATTACACGTGAGCTCTTATTGGTTACCTTGTTTCTTTTTATTGATTTATTCTCAGAGCTTTTTATACACACATACATTTCATTATTATTTATTTAAAGACAAACGTATGTTATCGTTTAAAAAAAAAAGAAGAATATTTCTCGCATTATCGTCGCTTATTTATTATAGAAATAATTGGCGTTGAGAAAAGAACTAATCATAAAACATGTACATTATTTTTAATAATTAAAGTCATCGAATTAAAAAACAAAACGATATTTTCCGACGAATCCTGGCGATTTTTTCGTATATTAGGAGTAAATTGGAAATCGTTTCGCCCCAATCCGATACGTCAACAACGACATTCACATCGAAATTTAATTCGACGTGCTCTATGATTCTAGGTATTTGCGTCACAGCATTTCGCCGTGACGCACGTAAGCGGTCTCTCTCGAGTTTGCACGAATTCCATAAATATTGGCGCCAAGCACGGACGACGATAAAGATTCCAATTTATAAAGTTGCTCCATGGGGTATGAAATTGTTGCGCGCATTATATAAGTTATGTAGTAAGTGGGCAGAAGAATTTTCTCCGCGAATTTTCTCTCTCCGAAGAAACAGCTAGCATTGCAGCAACAACTCTTTTTTTATAGAGTAGCAATAATTTGATTAGAGAGATCGTAATTAATTAAAGAAGCAATATCGTAATATAAAATATATCGATATAATGATCATTGTTTATATAATAATACGTTTTATTTTATTGATACAGAACAGGAATGTGCGATATAATACATGTATATGTTGCAATGTCATTAATTATTATTCGCAGAATTTTAGCCTGAATGCGTGTATATTACGAAACAAATTTTGACAGGTTTGCTAAAATGAAATATTGCCTCGCATTTTGAAATGATTTTTTATAAATCTTTTATTGTTTGTATATAATGAACTATAATTTCTTTCTGAAATTTCTAAATTATACCAATCACGATCAGGTTGTAATCGAGTTCAATTTGAAAAGCGACTGAAATGCGACTACAAAAAGGTCAAAAAGTACTTCAAGCAAAACTATAAAAGTTTTGATGACATCAAAATAGTTCCAAAATTATAATTCAAAATCATTTTTCGATTTATTTGAACGTCATTTGACATCATATGACCTATTTTGCTTGAGATGAGAAATAATAAATAAAAATTTAATTTACTAGGAAAAAATTAAGTTCAAAGGTTGAAAAATAGTGAGCTTTGCAAATTAAATTTAAGATATTTATTTCTTGCAGAATACATTTTGTGAAATACGCATTTTTAGTAAAAATTATACTCTTTTTGCAAACGGAAAAAACTGAAACGGTGTTGCCATCTATTGCATGAATATTTTATGATTTCTGTTGGAAAACTAAGGGATATCGCTATCTATTGGTTTCCTTTGGTACTATATCACGAAACTCCTTCAGAATTCTACAGATATTTATATTTATTTATAACTAACACATGCAATTAAAATTTAATTTACACCAATATATCGCAATCTATATAAAATAAAACTTTTATATTCTTCCCCAAACGCACCAATTGTTTTATTTTTTTATATTAACTAAACTTAACCTCGTAAAAACTCTAATCGATAAAACTATCGCTTCCATGGTTGCGGCAACTATTAATTAATCTATATTAGGAAACTGTCAGTTTACTACGATCAAAGCGTCCTATAGCTTAAGCAAGTGCCTTATTTTTACGCGCTTTACTGTAAACAGAAAAAAGCATGGGTTTGTGTCTATTAAAACTTGTATTTACTTGATTTCGTGAGAGCGGCGTTCATTCACTCGTTGTTCAATAACGCAAGAAATATTTATGCAATAATTTTCTTTTTATCGAAATAAATGTTTCAAACAGACGAGCCGAGTTTATCGAATCCGGAAAATGAAAAACGAATTTCGAGGAGTGAGGAGGACCGTTCATTCGACGAAGTGATTGGACATATCGAAGATTTGTTATTAGGTATAACTTATTATTTTGAAGAAATCAATCTCTAATACAGAGTTTTATTACTTGTTATTTAAATTAAAGAGTTCTTAATTCTTTATTACTCGTGCAAGATTTCCAGGACACCTTTGTTTTATAAATTTACTAAATGTATAGATACATATTATGTGTAGCAAAATTATTTCATAACTTATTATAAATTATTAAGAACAATGAAAATTAAGATTTTGTTTTTGGGATGTCAAAAACATCACAAGAGTAATTATATTTTAAAAAATCACGCTAGTGTGTGTAGGATTAATCGATCTTATTGATAATCTTGCAGAAGAAGACTTTCAAGCCCTTCAGAATAAATTTTTAGAAAAGTACTGGGACGTTTTCGAACCAGTAGAAGATAACAAATTAATTTACACCGATATATTCAATGAATACGTGAGTTTCACTTTTATTTTTACTAAAAATCTCAAAGTTCTCTGAATTGCTGCTGATTTTCTGAAACGTGCTTTATATATTTCAGAATAAAGCTGTAGAGGCATACATTGTGAATTATCTAAAGAAAGTCATGCCACAGTTCACAGTGGACACTCTTTTACATCAATTAAAGTAATTATAATTAAAATATAGTTAATAATAAGAACAATTTCATATTTTTATCTAATAAACTTCTCATTCTTATATATTTGCATAACTCTCACAATCAGTGAGAAACAAAAGCAGACAGAGCTGGAAGGTGAAGTTTTTGAGGTATTGTCAACGATAACAGACTTCTTGGCTTTTAAGGAAATGTTCTTGGATTACAGAGCAGTACGTAAAATCATTCGAATTTCTTTTTGTACAGTTTACATGCATATAACAAAAAGTTTGTTACAGGTAAAAGAAGGTAAGGTTGCAGATCTCAGCTGTGGGATATCCGTAACGTCTTTGAAATCTTATGATGCCGAAGACTGTAAAGATCCACCAAGATAATACAAATAATTTTAGCATAAAGTGTTTTAGATGAAAGCTAGAAGACGGAATACGAGTAAAGACGGTGTAAAATGTGATATAAATTAAAAATATTAATCATTGGATTTAATATTTATTAAATCAATATATTTGCAAAAGTCTGTATATTCAGTATATCACGTACATTTACAAATAGAAATACAAAAATAATTCGAGTATCATACTGAGTGGTTTTCTTGCATTTTACAGAGTCTCTTGCAGCATCCTGTACGATCTTTATAATGCAATATTTAGATTTAAACTAAAATGTTGAATCTTTGAAAATCTATTCTTTTTTGTCAATTACTGCTTTGATATATAATAAGTGTAAATTTTTTATGCTTTAATTTAGAAAAAAAAATTTTAGAATATTTTCTATAATAAAAAAACCAACTTTTTAAATAAAACTAACTAGCGAATATATAGACTATACTAACAAACGCAATAATATTTATATTTATAATTGTATAACTACTACGTAACTCTAATTATTACGTGACATTATATAATTATAATATTACGTGCTTGCTGTATATAAATTTTCGATATTTTTTAATTCTAATGCATAAGAATCTCCATTTGTACAAGTTTGCTGTTTGTCTCGTTTGGCATGCGATATGGTAATGTTCCTGCGAAACTCGTTAACGCTCGGGCTTGCTCTCGGAGATCGTGCAACTGCTGTTCTCTCGCAATTTTATCACCTGGTTCTACTGATCGCAATTTCCGATACTGACGATACAATATCGTCATGGTGGCCAGAAGAACATCAGCTAATGTGCCAGCCACTTCGGGCGATACTCGACGTAAGACATTCACTCTTTCATCAACTTCCGTTACTTGAAGAGGTAACATCTTCGAATCCGCAATAGTCTGAAAAAAATATAGTACTATTTAAACCTGCTCTCTTAAACTGACTAGAGACCTTTCCCAAACATATTCTCATCTATTTACTTAAAAATGCACTTACTCTGAGTGCGCTCTGATACTGCTCGTTATGGAATTGATCGAAGAAAACCATAAGATCCTTCAAGGTATAAAATGAAGACACTACTTCTGAAGGCGCTTGGATTGGAATATCCTTGTATCTGAAAAGATTTGCGATAATCTCTCCCATGAATACCAAGTTTTTATTTAAAGAAATTTGCATGATCGATAAAAATTACTTTGGTCGCGTAAATTGTACCTTGTACTGATATCCATTGCTGTGGTTTGTAATCGTCCTCTGAGAGAACCGGGCGGTCCTCTTTGACTAACAACTTGCGTCAAAAGTGTACACATCAAACTGAGAACTTTCTCATGATTCCTAGCTAAATCGTACATCATAACTGCATCTTCCAGTAAACCTTTCCTGTACAACGTTTCGGCACATATATTTATCACGTCATCCGTATTGATTTGAAATTGATCTAAAATCCCTGGAAGTCTGCGATCTTTGTCAAGTTTCCCGACTAACAAAACGCGGTTTGCAGGGGAAGCATCTACTACCATTTCTGCAGCAGAAGCGGCGAACATATTACGATCGTACGGGTCCTTCATACATCTAAAGATAAAAAAAATCAATGTGATTACCATGCTTATAAGTAAATGATTTCAAATAAGAAATTAAATAAAAATCTTCTTGCCTTAATAAAAATAAATAATGAAGACTCTCTTTTGGATCTGATGATTCAAATCTTTTAACGTACAACAGTATCAATCTAGCAAAATTTAATCTTTTCGTTGGCGGCTTATCGGCAGGATCTACGCTTATCAAAGGCGCTAAAACGCTTTGACTGACAGCTAACAAGTTGTGTTCGTGCATAGCAGCTGCCAAATGGACAGCGTGCGGTAAATGTCTCGCTCCAGCACCCGTAGCTAAGAATTCTATCGCTGCTTCAAACTGTCCAGTCAAAAACAGCATCGAGAAGTACAAAAATGGTTGTTCGTGTGCGTGATAATAAGTTTCTCCTAAAAATGGCATCAATTAAAACTACTAAAAATCCAAAAGACTATCGACTACCCAAAAAAAAATTACCATATATTTCTGAAATTGTAGTCTGCAGATAGTCCAACGTAAGTTTATTCTCAACATCTGCCTGATCTCTCACTTGGCACAACTTTAGCCACAAGTAATCGTCAGCTGTAGATATCACTTCGGAGTGGAAGTCATCCAACTCGCAAGGAACTAATGTGCAATACGCTGCTCTCTTATAAGGATCAGTTACAGATCGTACTTGTTTCCTGTAGTGCAATTTTAGGATAGACTCGGCCCGACTGCTTGGACGATGTTGCAGATCGTCGCAAGCTTCCTCGAGAGCCGCTTTAAATTCCGGGAATTCTGTGTCACATTGATTCAGGCATTGTAGTGCAGCTTTGTAATCCCCAGATCGCATACAGTAATACACTAATGGCCACAACGGTTTGTCTTCCATCTTGGTATCCTCCAAATCCCTTAAATTTTGTACTTTTACACCCACGAAGCTCTTGACTAGGGGTATAGTACCTGGAATGCCACCTCGTTTCGCTTGTACTAAATTCTCATTGATTATCGAATTCATGAAATCTCTGTATCGGTTTTCCAAATACTTTCTAGCTTGTGAAACAATTCTCTGCTCGATCGCAGAGCTGCTTCTGGATTTAATTTGATCTCCTCTAGGTGTCGGTGGAATATCGACCATACACTTCACCATTTGCCACAAATCTACAATCTTCTTGTCATTAAAGGACTCGGAAGCTTTGTAGAACGTGTTAAATAAACTGGGCCGTGTTACACCTCTGAGTACATGATCGTTATAAGTCTGTAATTCCTTTACATAGGCGACTTCTATGTTAGAGAGACCACTGATCATCGAACCGGCTAGTTTTGTGCGCTGCGGAGCACCACGCAAGTCTACCAACTCGCCGGATGGCGCAGTCATGGCGTTTATTATCTCAAAACGCATTTGCTTCCATTCACCCAGCATATGTTCCATTTGTTGAGCCCTTGTAAGCTCAAATGTCTACAAAAGTTAATCCTATATTAATCTCTCTATTGCATACAGATATATAAATATTTAATTATTATTTTACATACATCTTTGTGAACTTGTTCGATGATAGATAGAATCGCATTTTCTTTTTCATTCCTAAGGTAACTAACAATATCGGTGTCTGCAATAGGATCTAATGGTTCAAACGTACGTCGTGTACTAAGCGAATTTAACTTTTGTGAAATCTGAGATAGATCTACTCCACGGGATCCTAGTAAGACATGACTGAAACATTTATTTTTATATTAATGTTGGGTGTTTTCCAGTAATGTATTCAGTTGATATAGAACATTTTACAAAAGATACAAATGATACTGCATAACCAATGAATCATTTTATTCTTACATTGCCAAACAAAAATACAATAATTCACCGTCTTATACACTGTATTATCTGTGTCTCTTGCTTGAAGGAATTCTACGATCAACATGGAATGTTTTACTTGTAACGCAGTAAAACAATCGGAGCAAAAAGCAATTCCAAACTACTGTAAAATTTACAAAGAATTTATCATATCTAGGAATAAGTATCGGGATAAACTCACGCTTGTGCTTCGTTGTCTTGCGTGCTGGTTTGCGTAACTCGAGACCACAGCTCGTTGGACGCCTCCAATATTTGACGCAGATTTCTTTCGACTTGCGGCAGATCCTCATTTCCTTCGACAGTTGCGGACAATTGTTCTGCTGATCTCAATAATTCGCTGAAGCCGGAATCAGCGGCCAGTCGGTTGGTGTCGGCGGGCAACATATCCGCGTGTGCGATGTCGCCCATACTCTTAACCATGCTCCTAACCTGACAGTTTTGCAGGTTATTGCAACCGGTCAAAACGTTGAGAACGGATTTTATAAAATTACGCGGCAAAACGTTCACGAACCACGGAATGTAAAAATACTAGAGATCCCTCTAATTAATGAGAATCGCAAAATGAGCCGATTTGAGCGACTCTTGTAGTGGCAGAGAGAAACCTGAGAGTGAACATCCCGGCGTTTTTCGAACCTCGTAATGTCCACGTATTTGTGGTTCTCTTCCATACTCTTACGTGGATTAGAGAAGGACAAACAATCAAAGTTGGTTGTTCGTCTTTGTTTAACCCACGTAATAGTATATGGAAAAGATTCACAAAACGTGAAAATTATCCTACGAGATTTGTTACACAAAAGAAGCCGTCCACTCTCATTTATTGATAAAATATGATACTTAAAAGATTTACAATGACTTTACCAACCGTCGACAAAATTCGTGGCGGCTTTATCGACCATCGAATGATTTATTCTATATTGTCAAATCAATTATGCCAACAAAATTAAATAGTTTTAAAAAATCAATATAATATATATGATGAGAATATAATAAAATAAAATATAATTAGGTGACAAGTTTCAGAAGAATTCAAAAATCGAAATTCCAAATATCGCACTTTTAAAAGTTTTATTTTACATGTTCTCTTTCGCTATCATGTAGAAGCAAAATTGCAACTATATATATGTCAACAAAACATACACACACACACACACATGACACACACCTCTCATATACATACATATGCAATATGCAAGCATAAGTCATAAATATTTTAACAAGTAATTATTATAATACAATGCGCGCACACAAGTATGCTTACAACTAATGCAACTTTGTTTAATATTTTTAACAATTTAAATAGTCGCCATATAATTGTGAAAATTATAAATTTTGTGTGTAAAACACCGCACTCAAGTGAAACGACCGTGTTCGAATCGTGCGATTTAATAGAAGTAAACGGTCATTCTTCTTCAAGGCTGTTCCTTTGTCATGATCCTCGGTCAAGTTTTCGCTGTGTAGATTACCCGTCGATCGGCCAGAGCCGTGTTCTTGCCACAGTGACCTCAAAAGAGAAAAAGATCTCATGAGGTACCTGACGAAGGTCAATATCGAAATGAAAAAGAACCCCAACGAACAAGGAGAATTCCGATTTCACGACTATTGTGGGCCGCTTTCGCGTTCTAAAATTTCTCTTGTAAATTTGACAAAGGATCTTCGCATAGTTCGTTCGC